CAGGAATGCTATTTCATATCACATTGACATTGGTAATCTATACTCTACAATTGATGATTGTCATCACAAGTCTACGACGAATGGGTGAAATTGCATGCTGAACCTTTGCTCCGGAGATTTCTGTCATTTTGATGATTTTGCTGTCTTATCCTGTTAATTTTTTCCCCCTCTTTCAGAGCTTCTTGTTCTTTTGCAGAGTGTTGTTTTTTTCAGTTTTCTTGCAAAAAATTAGCAGGGAACAATAATATTGTGATAAGCTATTTCATCGATGAAATTGATGGGTTAATGTGATCCATGTTGTTTATGTTTCAATTGGTTCTATTTGTATTTTGGGGCTTTTACATACATACCACCCAATTCCTATGTATTTACATATATGATGTCCAAATTTCATTTCTTACAATTATACCATTTTAACTTCGGGAAAAGTGAGTACAGATTTGAATTTTGGCTCGGATTGTGATCAAATAAAAAAAAAAAAGTCGAGCTACGAGCCAAAATTTTGGATCAAGTTTCTTTTGATCTAATTTCTAGCCGGATCTGGCTCAGCTCGAAATCGGATTGTTAACAGTTCTAATGTTGCAGCTGTGAATTCAACAAATTTAGCTTTGAATTTTGGCTCGAATCGAGATTGGATCCAAACAAATGAGCCAAAGTTTTGAATCAAAATTTTTTAAAGCATATTTGAGCCGACTCTAGCTGGGCTCGAAATTGTATCGTTAACAGCCCTAGTAAGTTGCATGGGCAGTTACATACACACCACTCAATTCCTATGTATTTACACATCTAACACCTAAATTTTATTTTTTTTACATTTATACCACCCAATCCTTGTACATCACATAAAAAAAATACCATTATTTGGACTTTATAAAAGTTAATTACATCTTTTCATGCATCGATGAAGTGGGCACATATGTAAAAATAGAGTGTAGGTGCTAGATATGCGAATACATAAGAATTGAGTGGTATGCATGCAAAATGTAAAAAAAATTAAAGTTTAGTTGTTTGGATATGTAAGTACATGAGAATTTAGTGGTAAGTATGTAAATCTTCCTCTCTCTTGGCATCTTATTAGATATTCTTGCCTCTTTTGGCATCTTATTAGATATGTAAATACATCTTAAAAGAACTTGGCATTTTTATTCTTTAGCATATAAACTATTATAGGAGAATTCTTATTTTTTTTACTTGT